GGAAACATGCAAATTAAGGAAACATTACATAGGCAGCTGTAAGCAGTCCGTCCCCAACCCGCATTTGTTGAGATGGCTTCGGCAGTGACCCATAATTTGGCCACAAGCCAATATTTGTTGACATTTTTTCTGTAAATGCAGCGGGGTAAATTTGCCGATTTATAGCAACCCGACACTACATTGACAATGTCATTACACAGTATTTTACAAGGTCACAAAAACAACATGTAGTTTACTGAAAGTGCTTATCCCTATTCAAAAGAACATGAAACAAGAAAACTATTGCAGTAAGAAATTTCTAATTGGATAACTATGTTGCCCAGCAATACCCTAATCTACAAGATTATGACTGAAATGATCAGGATTGAGGATTCAGAAAGTCGAAAAAAGCTAAATGAATTTAATCGATCATCGTTATATTGAAATCCAAATAGTTGTGTCCTAGAATCTGGTCTGTAAGTTTTTAAAAGGTCCAGATTGGGGTCCAGATTAGGGGTCCAGAAAGGGGGGTCCACGTTTTGTCAACCCCCCTGGAAAGGCAATGGCGTAGCATACCCAATTACGGTATCAGCATACCATTTGAGAGCCGTCTCTTCTGGACGACTTGAAGTGTCCGACTGTCTGGCAGTAGATAAAGTAACATGTCATGACTATATATGGCTTAATCCGGTTCCTGCCTGATGTTTAAAAATTAGTTCCGGTGCACCCATATGATATTGGTGCATGGCATTATCAGACTAATTGTTACAAGGTTGTTCGAACAAGTCAGATGTACAGTCATGATAAACAAGAATGTTACAAGGTTGACAACACAAGGTTGTAACAATACTGCTATATCATGAATCATGACTGTATCGGGCTTGTTGGAACAACCTTGATATATATATATCGATTGATTGATAATATCAACAAGCAGGGACGCCGGAACGATAACAGGGCAAAGGGGGGTGGACGCACACCAAGGGCACCTTTACTGAAAAATTTTTTTTCACTGCCAAATTTTTTGGCGACCTCCCCCCCCTTTCTTCAAAATATTTTTCTAAATTCCAAAAATTTCCCAAAATTTTTATAAATATAAATAAAAAATTACCTGAATCTCGTGATTTTCCTACAAAAAGCATCGTTGGAAATGTGATTTATCACGTATTATTTTACAACTAAAAGGGCACTTCTGCCCCCCCCCTGCCCCCCTAGCAAAGGGCAAGGGGGGCAGCCACCACCCCCTGCCCCCCCGTTCCGGCATCCCTGTCAACAAGGTTGTTACAAATTGTTGACAACTTGCGACAAGCAGTGCGAAGACAACTTGTTGACGGCTTGTTGACATTAACTTGTTACAAGATGTGAGATTTTTGCGTGTGTACAAGATGTACACACGTAAAAATGCACAAGTTGTAACACGTCTGCAAACAAGTTGTTACAAGTCTGTTCACAAGCTGTCAACAAGTTGTGTTCGCATTGCTTGTTCCCAGTTTGTTGTAACAAGTTTGAAACAAGCTGTTAACAACTTGTAACAAGCTTGATGGCATTATCAGCCTTGTTACAAGACTGTGCTAACAAGTTTGTTACAGCCATGATATAACGATCAGGATGTTACAAGGTTGTTAACACAAGGTTGTAACAATCTTGTTATATCAAGCATGTAACAGACTTGTCAGAACAACCTTGCAACAAGTCTGGTGATAATTTTGATAAGGTTGTTACAAGTTGTCAACAAGTTCCAAACCTGTTGACAACTTGCGACAAGCAGTGCAAATACAACTTGTTGACAAACTTGTTACAAGATGTGAGAATTTTGTGTGTGTACAAGATGTACACACATAAAAATCTCACGTCTGTCAACAAGATGCATTCGTTATTTGCAACAACTTGTTGACAACTTGTAATAACCTTGTCGAAATTATCAGACCTGTTGCAAGGTTGTTCAGACAAGTCTGTTACATGCTTGATATAACAAGATTGTTACAACCTTGTGCTGACAACCTTGTAACATCCTTGTTATATCATGGCTGTAACAAACTTGTTAGCACAATCTTGTAACAAGGCTGATAATGCCATCAAGCTTAATTGTTACAAGTTGTTAACAGCTTGTTTCAAACTTGTTACAACAAACTGGGAACAAGCAGTGCGAACACAACTTGTTGACAGCTTGTGAACAAACTTGTAACAACTTGTTTGCAGACTTGTTACAACTTGTGCGTTTTTATGTGTGTAGGAGTGTCTTTTGGGTGTGTACAAGGTGTAGGAGAGTGCCTTTGCACATGCACCCAGCTATTGCTTCTCTTTTACACACATAAAAATCTTACAACAATGTCAACAGGATGTGTTCGCAACAGGCTTGAAGCAAGCTTGTCAACAAGTTGTAACAATATATTTATATATTTTATCAAGTTGCTACAAACTTGTTGCTCACAACTTGTTGACAAAAAATTGTTGAATTGCAGGACGATAACAAGTTGCTGGAACAACTTGTAACAAGCATGTTGAGCTTGACAACCTTAATGTATCAAGTTTTCAACAAGCTGGGAGCAAGCAGTGCAAACACATCCTGCTGACAAGTTGTTGCGACAGCCTTGCTACAAGTTTGTACATATACAAGTTGTAACAAACCTGCAGCAGACTTGTAACAATGCAGTTCATGCAACAACTTGTCAACAGGTTGCACTGCTCGTTCTATTAGCTTGTTGAGACAGACTTGTAACAGCTTTCATAGTTGACAAACTATGTTGTGACAAGTTTATTGTGACAGGGCTGTAATAAGTTTGTTGGCAACAGGTTTGTAGCAAGCTTGTCAACAACTTTGCACAAATTTGTTGATACCAAGCTGTAGAAAGCTTGTCAAAATCAAAAGCTGTAGCAAGCTTGTCAAAATCAATCCATAAGACCATAACAAAAACATGGCAGCTCGTGAAAATTCACATTCAAAGAACAGACAACACAAACTTTGCTTCATGTGTGAAATTCACATTATCTCGAAAATCAATTTCAGAACTACCTATTTTAAGTTTTAGAAAATGGGAAGCCGGCCTTAGGATGGCCCCTTACACAATGGAATGTGGGTCAAATATTCATTGTCTGACAGTGACAGTAACGTAAGGATGTCCAAGGTCAATTTGTATGTATAGATGTATCTATATGTACCAAAACTGCATGGTATTCACATTAATTAGTTAAATATTATTATAATGCAAAATTCTCATGGTATATGTGGATTCTTATATCAGCCATCCACAAAACCATTTGCATGACTGTTATATGGTTAATGGAAAGGTCATGGAGAACAACTACACACATAAAAACCCACAAGTTGTAACAAACTTTGTCAACAGGATGTGTTTGTACTGCTTGTTTCCAGCTTGTTGACAACTTGTTACAATGTTGTTGAACTCAACAAACTTGATACAAGTTGTCCAAACAACTTGTTATCATTTTGCAATTTAACAATTTGTCAACAAGTTGTGAGTGACAAGCTTGTAGCATATTAAATAACAGCATCATTGCAATTTGTTAAAAGCTTGTCATAAACACATCCTGTTGACAAGTTGTGAGATTTTTATGTGTGTATGTTAGATGTTCCTTGAGTTCAATGGTTTGGTTTGGCCACTGCAGTGGCAAAAGCTCTTGCTTTACACATGTCAGGCAAATCTTGCCAAACTTGACGTTCTAAATCAAAACATTCCACTGACTTGAGATCTTCGGCGTTCTCATTCTTTCCTCCCATAACCACTACAACATTACCAGTTAAGACAGCTGTACAACCACGTCGCTTATGCTTCATGCATGGCAACATTTGAGAACGTCCTGTGATGACATCGTACATTACTACCTTACTCAAAGCGTTGTTGTCTTCATCCTCGCCACCGATCACAAGCACGTTAATCCGCCATAAAACAGTCGCCATTTCGTCCACAGCATATGGCAATGGAGACATTTCTTTACATTCATTCGTGATGAGATCATACTGCACCACACTGGCCATGACATTTCCATCATACCCTCCAAGGATAAACAATTTCTGATCAAACATTTCCATGCCATGATGAGATCTTGCTTGTGGAAATCTTGTCAGGATCTTACTGGAATATGGTGGAAGCAACTGCACCTCATAGACTGCATCAGAACGTTGGGACTCTGGTACCCCACCACTAGATTCAACCCATCCTCCAGACATGAACAGCCGATCATCATGAATAAGAACTTTATGAGCACCACACTTGACAGGAAGATTGACAGCAAAATCTTTCCATGTGGCTGCCGGATCTGCAACATTCAAACATTTTAGTGTGTTTGTTCTTTTGCCATCAGAACCTCCAGCGACTACCATTTGACCTTGATACAGGAATGAACAAGTGTGAGAACGACCTTCAAATGGTGCAGAAGCCAGCAATGTCCAGGTTTGATCAGCCCAGTTGAAAAACTCTGTGGATTTATTCCTCACGTCCCTCCGACCCTCAACATGACACCCTCCAGTTACAAAGATATTTTCTCTTGCATCTGAAGAACATGTCCCATTCATCTCAACTTGAAGCTCTTTCATTCCTGCCATTGCATTCACAGCCACTTGTTTTATTTCATCTTTCATTTCTCTTTTCATTCCTTTCATTTCATTTTCAATCATTCCTTTGATCTCATTCATCATTTCCACTTTCATTCTTTTTATTCCAATCTTCATTTCTTTTTTCATCTTATCCATTTCTCCCTTTACTTCACTTTTCACTGCCTCTTTCATGCTCTTCATTTCATTCTTTATTTGATCTTGTCGAACCAACATTTTGTCTTTCAATTCTTTCACTTCGTTCTTCAGTTGACCACAGTCATGACATTTCAGTTTCCTAAAATCACATACTTCAGTTTCATGGTGAAGCTTGTCTCTCACATTCACGAGAACATTACATCCATCATTGGAACATTGCACGGGAGTGAATCCACAACTCGCAACGTGACGTTTGAGATTTTCAACTTGAACCATTTCAAGGCACCCTCTGGGGTGGAAATCACAATGAATATTCAGCTCAGATATATAATCCTTGACAATCCTCGAAGCTGGCTTTAGTGTGTCGACGCTGAGGTGTTCAAGACACGTCGGACAGGACGAGGACTTTTCCAAATGCTTTTTCATACATGAAGAACAATAGTAGTGTTCGTTCTTGCACATAACGGGATCTTTAAGAACTAGGAAACAAATGGGGCAGTGAAATCTTTGACTGACAACGATCTCGAAGCGATTGTCTTCATACCCAAGCTCGTATTTACTGCACGCCATTATTACACCGTTTCATTCACCAAAAGTTTACAGCAACTCAAGGTCTCCAAAGTTAAAAGCAACATAACAACTGCAATGGTTCACACTCCACATGTATTGTCAGGGGCTCAGGCTCCTATATCTATGGGCTCAGGGCATGGGGTTAGCACTATTTTCCGGCATGTACTAAAAGGCGAAACGTCGAAACGAAACGACCGAAACGAAACGACCGAAACGAAACAACCGAAACGAAACGACCGAAACGAAACAACCGAAACGAAACGACCGAAACGAAACGGCCGAAAATGTAAATTACAGG